AGAGATGGGACGTGACGGATCAGTTTTGGGTTTATCAGGTTTACCCACGTTTAAAAATCCTGCTTAAACCTGCTCATTTTGGTGTAAAAAGGGTATTAATAACCTCTCGCGAAGGTCCTGCAGGCCTGCTGCTGCTGGTACGCTCCCATGAGCCGTAGCAGAAGGTAGGGACGATTGACCTACTGTATATGTTTGTTGAGGTTGAAGAACTTGTTCCTGTGAACCAATGCAATACACGCTGGTTTCAATCTTCTCCATTTGATTTAACTGAATTTCAATAGACTTTGCAGAGAGATAGAATCAGAACTGAATTGTTACCCTTGTCACCCACATGTTAACAAAACTACAAGTCTACAGCCATGCTAGCAGCTCTTTGGGCTGTTCTTAGGCGCAGTGGTGTTTTGAGCTAAACACTTAACAGTTTCAGATACGCTAACATCAGCATGCTAACACGCTGATACTAGTCTTTGTGTTGCAATACATTTCAAAGCACAGTCACACTTCAAAAAATGCCTTGCGGGTTGAAGTAAAATGAGGAAATTCACTTTACTTTAGAGGAACTTGGCTTGTACAAAAGTGTGAGGGGAAAGGAAACAATAAGTTTCAGTAAAATGGTTGAAAATAATTGCATGACCTTTGCATGCAAACACGAGTCTGTGCTTGCTCACACACCTTCAGACCAATGAAAAATGAAACCAAAACATAATCATTTGGAGCCAGACTCAGCGCAGCAGTGATCAGGGAGTGGAGCCGCGGTATCAAGGTTAATCGAGTCAGTCACAGCTGTCAATCATGAAGTTACACTCCTGTTTCAAACAACGACAGTAATTAAACCAACTAATTTAACCAAACTGATCAGAAAAATGAACACTTGAACTTGAACATCCATCAGCGTGATGAGAACTATCTAAAATGACAGACACCATGTTTGGAAAAATGTATTTGACGGGTACTTCGCTTTTAGGGAGCTGTCCTGTCATCTGTCTTTAGGCCTATATACAGTCATTGCACCAGGCTGAGAGCGACAGTGTTAACATGCTGATGTTTAACAGGTCAAGGTTATTAACATTAACTAAAACTAACGAAAACTAAATGTGAAAAAACATTTCTGAAATAAAACTGTGTAAAAAAAACAATAACTAACTGAACTACAGAAGTAACTAGAATCAACTGAAATTACAGAGAAAATTTCTTTACTTTTTGTTTTTGTCTATTTATTTCATACATAAGCCTCTGGTATTTTGGGCAGATATTAAATATCTAGCCAAATGGAGCAGTATCCTACCAGCTGATTGGCTTTCAGTGTGTGACAACATGCACTTCAAGTGTCCAAAACATTCTGTGTATCAACAATGAAAGTACAGCATGTGAAGTATTGTTAATTTGCTGTAATTATGTGTCATAATTGTCATACTTGCAGCACATATGACTAGTGCTGGACAGTCCAGTTGACCAATGAGTCAATTTCTGAGTCAATCTAAATGAGTCAGACCTCTAGAGTTTTTAAGTTTTTTCATGGTCTCTTTCTCAGACTGACTTACTTTGTGCATATATCTTTATTTTATTTATTGTTGTTGTTGTTGTTGTCATGTCCAGTTATTTTTTTCTGGTTAATAACACAAACACACTGACTAACTCACATCTTTTATAGTTGTCTTTTATGGACGGTTCTTCATCTGTTCTAAGTGAATACATTTTTTAAATGGTGTGATGTTTTGTTGAGTTTTATTACACAATACTTTTTCTGACCTTTTTTAATCATACCCCTGACAAAGCCCCATATTACAAAAAAAAATAAATGAATAGAATTACCACCTCTTTCTATTTTGTTAATTATTTTGTTTTCCTCTGCCAACCAGTCAAACTGTAGGAAAAATGATCACAGTCTCTCCTTCCTGAGTTACAGCACTGAATAATGGCCAGAGGTGTTTTTGCAGAAAACTATGATGTCACAGTGAAGTTGACCTTTGACCATTTGGATATAAAATGTCATCACCTCATTTTTTCCTATTAGACATTTGAGTTAAATTGTGTCATAATTATTGCATGAATTTGTGAGTTATGGCCTAAAACATGTTTTGTGAGGTCACAGTGACCTTTGACCTTTGACTACCTAATTCTGATCAGTTCATCCTTGACTCCAAATCAACATTTGTGCCAGATTTGAAGAAGTTCCCTCAAGGCGTTACTGAGATATCGCATTCACGAGAATAGGTTGGAGGGACAGACAACCTGAAAACATAATAATAATAATAATTATATAATTAATAAAGAATAATAAAAACTGGAAACATCACTGAAACTAATGAAAACTAAACTAAAACTAATCATTTTCAAAAAATGAAACCTAAACCAGAAACCTGCTTTAAAATTAATACTAAACTGAAATTGAAAACAAAAAGTCAAAACAAAATAAAAATAAAAACTAATGAAAAATCCAAAACTATTATAACTTTGTTGTATTGTAATCTTGCAGGTATAATGTTTACAATGTTCATCGTGTTAGCACTATAGTAATTACAAAATCATAATCCAGTGCTTTTAACAAGCTTTAAAGATCCCTTTTTTGCTGCATCATGCCCAACACATGCCTGACTACACATGCGCTGCCACAGGTAATGGTGAGAGTGTGAGCATACCTGTGTATACATAATGAGCTGTAATGACAGCAGTGAATTGCATAATGAAACATACACATGACGATGTTATGACTGTCACATAAACATTACATTACATTTTCTTTGCGATTTAATTTGTGAAGTGTGTTTTTCTGTTAGCGGTAAGAACCTTTGTATTTTTCGTCTCTGTGTATCTGTGTGTGTTTTTGTTTTGTTTTGATTGTTTTTTTTTGTTTTGTTTTTTGTTTTTTTTTGTGCGTGTTTACTTTTATTTATTTGTTAGCTCAAATGTTTGTTTTATGGGTCCTGGAATAAAGCAGATATTTACATGAGCATTATGTGGTCATGTTTTCATTGTTTTTACTCTTACTCAATATACCTTGCAGCAGCTTAAAACTACCTTAAACATGACAAGCTTTAAATGTGTGTTTAGATTAATGTGGTAACTCAGGTTTGTAAGGATAGTTCTGAATGTGCTGCGGTTAAATTGGTAATTAATAAGCAGTTGCAGCGAGTGCCAAAAGTTAGCATTACAGGTTGGTTACAGTAGTAAAACTGCGACATGTGACTTTAGATATCTGTTTTAATCAGTTTAAACATTATTAATTTACATCAAGGAAACATCATGTTTGTTTCCAGCTTCTGCTTTCAGAAAAGAAAGAAAGAAAAACTTCCCACAGCTGTTTAGAACAAAATAAAAGCTGCAAAATGTTGGTGAACCACAATCATGCCACATGCCCTGTGACTCATCTTGTTTCCACGTGTCACTAATTAGATTCCAGAGGAGCGTCACATTTCATGCCATCTTTATCTATTATTCATCAGAAATAGACAACACCTACACACCTTATCCTAAGCCTCGTTAATTAACTTTTTCATTTCCCCTGGGCCCCTACACATTGTGTCCTCTGCTGACAGCCGGGGGAAAACAAACCACACTGAAGGAAGGATTTATGATGTCTGTAAGGTTTCACAGACAAACACCAACCCAACATTTCTGCACTGTTACTGTAACATACAGTTAAAGTCGCAGCATGCTAGTCCACCTTTTTCACACCAGTGTTTTCCAACCTTTTTATCTGACTTCCACCATGTACCCGTGTGCAGATGAATTCAACATCATCCGACCAGTCTTCTATCATCTGTCTTCATTTCAACTCAGTAACTGTTTGTTCATTTGGTTTAGTTTCAACCATTTTTAGCGCTAATATGTGGATTTTGTCGTCTAATCAAAACACTGCAGTTCATTTCTTTTTTCAAAATAAATGTTATTCTCAGTATCCCCTCAGGTATAGGACAGAAATAACTGATCTAAAATACAATATCTTTACTTGTCTCTTTCTTTTGTAATAGTAAATCCTTTGACATCCCCAGGCTGCTGAAAAATTTGTCAAGTCTCTGTCTGAAAAGGAAAGGTCATTCTTTGATTGAACCGCTCGAAATTTATGCGCAGGTGCCATGTTGCAAAGACATAAAAAAAACGGTTTGGTGATGTCCTAAGATTTCCTTCACCTTTTTTTTTTTTTTTTTTCAAATTACAAATCAATACGATAAAAACGAACTCTTGGTTCAGTGAAAAAAAAAAAACTCACTATAAAGTTGCAGCTAGTGCGCAGTGGAAGCTCATTGTAGAAAACCAGGCAACCAGGACTCAGCACATGATGTCAACACATGTGTGTGACACATGTCTACATGATATGCGTCAGGTGAAATGTTTTTCCTGCTTCTGCACCGTTTATGCAAATCACCTGCCTCTAGGGCGCTTTAAGAAAAAAAATCAAACACCAATTGAAGGACCTCTTGCTCCCTCTTGTGGTCAGGCCTGTTAATGAGAGGCAAAATCATTTTTGATTAAATTCAACTGTTAAATAAAAACAGGGCCATTCAACCATTTATGTACTATCACAGGTTACATTTTCAAGTCTTTAAGTTCATAATATGTTGAAAAGTGATCACTTTGAAGATTATCGACCTTTATTGGGAATGTTCATCACAGCTGTCAGTGTTTTTTCTTTTTAAATCATCCATCAGGTGGAGAAAAAAAAATGTGTTATAGGAATGTTAAAAGTTAAGGGTCCCATATTTTACACTTTTCCTGTGTTTTATTTCATGTTTTGATCCATAAGAAGATATATTTGTGGTTTTTAGTAACTACTAGAGTAGTTTTACATCTCCTCCCTCAGGCTTTCTGAGTGATCAAATAAAAATATAGCAGACCTCAGTTTAACACTTTGAGAAAACAAATCCTGCAAAGTTGGACACTGGGTCCAGGTGGGCCATGCTGGGGGCATGGCTGAGGGTGGTGACAGTTTTGTTGTGACATCACAAAGTTACAGAAGTCCTGACAGCTTGTTTTAAGACAGTTATTGAATACAGACTGTGTGCATCTTGTCCATGGATTTCACACTTTCACACTGATACTTTTACATTATTAATACAGAACCTAGACCTGCTCTATAATCAAGAAAGACATGGACAATTCACTTTCTACAATATGGGACCTTTAAGTCTTCCTTTGATAAAACAAGAGCATTAACATGATGCCATGTTGAGCACATCTGTAGAAGCCACAACATTTACTTTTATTTTGTGGAATGTAAAAATATTAACATTCAGTATCTTCATAACAAAACAGACATGAAACACGTTTCACTGAGCAGGTGGCTGTAGTGAGAACAACTGAGCCAGTCCACTGAGCTTTCTCTGCCGTTTCACTGACCCGACTCTCAAATGTAGATTTAAGGACCAGCCACTAGAAGACCACCACTCTAATGACAGAAAGATTTATGGCTGCAAAACTGATTTACTTGAAGCCACTTTTGGAGGTTAGCAACTGTCAGTGTAAGCTGCAGGTGATCCGTGTAGTGAAGGTTGCGAGTGAAGTTTTGGGACGGGTGGACAGAAAGATTTCACCTCGTGTCCTGATGGAGGCCCTCGGTGAACAACACAGCAGTCCTCAAAAACGCCTCCATCAGTTTGTTTCTTTCCAGCTCTCAAGTCTCCACCGCTCCACCGAGCCGACACTTTTCCTCTCAAAAACAAATTGTAACACAAATCAGGGATGTGACTGTGAACTGCTAAAACACACAAGACAACAAAAATCATCCGTTTGCCATAAGTGGGTGGTGTTTGTCCCAAAATAGAACACATTAAAAAAAACAAAAAAAAAACAAGAAAACACACCCCTGACAAAAATATTCCACTTGAACTCTACTTTAAAACCACCTTTTTTAACCTGTTCCCTCTCTTGTCTCTGTCTCCTCTGCTGCGTCTCACTCGTACTCGGCGATCAGCACCATCATGCCGACTCCGAACAGCAGGGCCAGAATCTCCATCAGGGACTGGCCGAAGCTGGCGCGGCCCGCAAGCAGCTCCGGGAGCACGGTCACCGTGGCGATGTAAACAAACCCGCCGGCCGTGAAGGGCAGGATCCAGGCGGTCGCTGCGGCGCCCACGCCTTCTGCCAATAGGGAGCAAGCTGTGCCAGCCAGGGCTCCCAAGGCCGTCAGCAGCTGTAGACACATGGCCTGATGGGAGAGAGGCAGGGGATTATAATATCAACACATTCTCCACACATTTATTTATTCTAACATTTTCTTAATAATATAAAACAATAAAAATAATAACACATTCGTTGGGAACAAGTTTCTATATTAATTTAAGTGGTTGTGCTTGTGACCAATCAGAGGGGTAAAAAAAGTCTATATATCCCCTTTTCCACTGGTCAAAAAACCCGCTAACATCTGGCTTTTGTCAGCAATGTGAATGGGTACAATCGGCATTCTCTCCCAGGTTAAATGACTCTGCAGTAGACGCGGGAATTTATCGGCTTCGATCGGCAGTGATGTAAACACATGACACCCGGCTGAACTCATAAACCCCCCCCCCCTCCTTTTTCCTGCTGTGGCGTCTTTCAGAGCAGACACACTGTAAACACACCTGTCACCTGTGTGCATCCTCTCAAAAAGGAAAACTCGTCTGGCAGTGTAAAGGAGTCAAAAAGGAATTTGAGGATTTACCCGCTTTTAAAAAAACCTGCTTATACCGTCTTATCTTTGTGTAAAAAGAGTATTAGTCTCTTCTGCATTCATAGCATTTAGCTTGTGTCCTTCTAAATCTTTTCCAACACATTTATATGATTTTACAGTTTAATAAAATAACAGTTCAGACCTGAAATTAAACCCTAGCATTTGTCCCAGCTCATTCTGAATGTTTTAACACTCAAATGTGAACAAACTGACAAGTGTCAATTTCCACGTAGGTGTCGGCATCATGAGCATCAGTCTGTTAAAGGTCCGGCTGATTGTGCTGGGAATATAATTCACTCTAATAAATTGCAGCTTGACTGGTCAGCTACCTTTTTCTTGGTGCAGCCAGACTGGACAAGGATGGCAAAGTCTCCGATCTCGTGCGGGACCTCGTGCAGCAGGATGGTGAGGGTGGTGACGGCGCCCACTGCCGGACCGACCAGGAAGGAAGCTCCGATTGCCAGGCCGTCAGTAAAATTGTGTGTGAAGTCCGCTGCCAGGTTCAGGTAACCTGACACCTTGATGTCTGTATTAGTGGAGAGGACAGAGAGTGAGGGGGTTTAAAGAGTGCAGAAAGACACCAGCAGAGGGCAGAGTTCTTCTACTTTGTTTCCTATTAGAGATAAGTCTATGAAAATCAACATATTGTTCACCTGAGCTTTGTTTCTCTTCTTTCTTTGGCACTTTCTTGTCTTTGCTTCCTTTATCCTTTGTCTTGTTTTCCTTTTCTTCCTCTCCATCACTGTCCTTTTCCTTGGCAGCAGCTGAAAATGTTACACAGGATAAAATTCAAGTTTAGCCACAATCCCCAGATCAGCTGAAGAAATGAGGTCTACTCCAACAGTTTCTGAGCGCCTTTGGTTAATTTAATAAAATAAAATAATAAATAAAATTACAAAATAGCACCTGCTAAAAACTGCAATCTGCAATAAAAATAGTTTTGTTTGTTTTCTGCAGGTGAGTTTCCACCGACGTACCATGTGAGTGGCCGTGGGAATGTCCATGGCCGTGCCCTCCCTTCACCAGACGCACAAATTTCTCTACAACCAGGAAGGCGATGATCCCGCCGAGGACCCACAGACCCACTGACATCATGTGACCGTGAGCAGCTCCTGTGCAGGTAGAGGATGAGGAACACTGGTTGGAACTGTGATAGATGAACAGTTTGACCCATCCACAGCTCAAAGGCACATACAGTATACTGTTTGCATCACCAGAGAAAAAAAGATTTTTACCAGCAGTCAGAGTACCAGTTGACTACATATACAAACTAAGAGAGAAGGCAGCTACTGCGCACCGTGGGAGTGGCCGTGGTCTTGCGACTCTTCACTTTCATGCGAGTGTCCGTGATCGTCCTCTCCATGATGAGAGTGGGGCTCTGCGAGGGAAAAAATAAAAATAAAAAAAAACATGACGCAAGAGGAAACAGACATTAAAGTCAAAAGGACAAACTGAAGATGCTGCGACTGTGTTTTTGTGATTCTTCTATGTGTGTGTGTGTGTGTGTATTTATTCATGTTGAGGAATCACTTACCCAGAGAGCCTAACCTGAGGTGTTTGTACATTTGTACATTATAATAAACGTGAGAAACAAGGATCAGTCCCAAAACCTTCAGCTGCTCTAAGTAGCGTCACACTTTCTCAGCACCGTGCGGCAGCGGTGAACATCTGAAGGACTTTGTTACCCATATATCAAGAAATGTGACGTGTTTGCTCAAACATGTTTGAATTTAAACTTTTTGCCTCTACATTTTATATGAAGAAGGAAATAAAACCTCAGAGCTATTCAGACAGCCAGAGTAAGAAAGTAAACCAGCCAGAGCGAGTAAAAACAGCCTTCTATGGATTCAACTACCCACCCAGAGCGTGTGGTATGAGGTGGAGGAAGGCGTCGCCCAGCAGTCCGCCGGAGGCAAAGCTGAGCAGCACCTTGAGCAGGTTCTGGTGCTGGTCGCTGTTGGACTGGACTGGGATCAGAAACAGGATGAGGAAAGGAGCCGCGCTGATCAGCAGAGTCGCTCCGATAGCCTGCGGACAGGAAGACAGGGAGGTTTTACTTTACATTAGTGTCCCGCAGGAGAGAACGTCCTCAAAACGCAAGATCATCAAGGATGCGACATGAAGACGGATGACTCGGGTTTCTGAGTGTTTACACACGTAAACAGGGAAGGTTAAATACAGTTAAAAAGAAAAAGTCATTGTGAGGTTGTTAAATCTGTTTTGTGAGAGGGACAACTGAAAAAATAAGACTAAAACGCTTCTGGCACAGACAGTGTGTCCACATGTTGTCAAACAGAGCACAACAAACTAACATCTGGATACCAATTGTGGCTCCAGATGTGTTTTTGTTTGTTCGCACTGGTTGGGAAAGAGTCATGAAATTCGAGTTCCTCAGAATAAAACAAAACTGTTTCAACATTTACAAGAATTAGTGAAACTCTTTAGAAGTCCCCCGAAAAAAACAAGCAGAAGGTGGAGGTTTCAGGCTGTGAAAACATTTCTGCTCGCCCATGTGTGCCCACTGCAGAGGTCACAGCTAAAGGCAACGCTTCTTTTTGGTGCCAAGCTGACATTTTTCTCATGAGACCTGACCAGAGTCCATTTTATCTCCAGAACACTGTTGAATCTACTGCTGGCTGATCTACCCTTCCTCTGGTAGCAGAGTCAAATCAACAACTGAGTTGATCTGAATTATTCTCAGTAGCCTTGTGTGTTTTCAGGTGGACAAAACACAGAAAACACGACACTCTAGACAAGTAGAGGACAAAAACTATGGCATCTAAATGTCAGTTTCAATAAATGACAGTACCTACCAAGCTCTTAAATGCATAGTTCAACACATTTGCATATTTGTTGAGAGTGAGGTGAGGGCTGATAATATGAAATTGAAGTTAGATAGTTAGCTTAGCTTAGCTTAGCATAAAGGAAGTGGGGGAAACAACTAACCTAGCTGTGTCTGCATTTCAAAAAGCCAGCAAAGTTCTCATTTATTTATTCCATCACAAAAAACTTGTAAAGTGTAAAAATGGCACATTGTGGTTTTATAATGCACAAGACTATTTCTTGGCCAGCTGCAGTGAGTGTTACAGAGATGATGTGTTACGCCAAAATGTCAAACTTTCCTTTTAAGGCATTGATTTGTTTTCAGACTGAATTTCTTAACATGAAAGGACTTTCTGATTAAAGCGGTTCTTCTTGAGTAGCCTTACACCTATTTAATATTTGACTTGAAACACACAGAGGGAACACACAGTCTTCCACAGCTGCTGTGGGAGGATTAAACACTGAGGCTCCTCCCTGTGTAAATACTCAATTCAACATTTAACATTTCAAACTGGTAACACATTATGAGATCACATTATAACCACACCTGCGTCCAGAGCTCCACCATGTCCCTCTTCTCTCCCTCTGCCTCCCTCTTCACTCTCTCCCCTCCGTGCGTGTGCCCATGCCCACTCTCCTCCTTGTGCACTCGAACAACATCCTCATGATGAGCGTGCCCGTGTCCGTGATCATGATTGTGAGCGTGCCCGTGATCATGAGCGTGCCCGTGATCATGATCATGAGCGTGCCCGTGATCATGAGCGTGAGCGTGCCCGTGATCATGATCATGAGCGTGCCCGTGATCATGAGCGTGTACGTGCCCATGATCATGAGCGTGAGCATGCCCGTGATCATGATCGTGAGCGTGCCCGTGATCATGAGCGTGGGCGTGTCCATGGTGCTCCTCTTCAGCCGTTGGGAGGTTGGCCTCGGCGCTCCACTTGCTCGCCCCGTGGAACATCTTCACCTGAGGGCCATGAGAGTGTCCATGGTGATCCTCTTCTCCGTGGGAGTGGCCGTGGTGATGGTGGCCATGTCCATGGTCACCATGCGAGTGGCTGTGAGCGAAGGTTGAACGGGAGGCGAACAGCAGTACTGCAGATGTGGCCAGTGTCAGCGCCAGCAGACGTACACAGCCCATATTATCCCCTCTGACAAAGAGAGAAGACAGGAAGAATAAAAACTCACAGGCTGACTGATGATTTAACTCTGTTTACACATACACTCTAAGTCACTTTGTGTGTCTTGGGCGTGGATGCAAGATAACAGAAGAAGAATTATTTAATCAATCCGACTTTATTTGTATAGCACTTTTCATAGAAACAATGTAACACAAAGTGCTTTATAGAATAGAAGCAATAAAAAAGCAACCCCCCACCCTTCACTCTCTCTGTGTCTCACTCTCTCACACACACATAAACATAAACATAAACATAAACACACACACAGAGCACTAAGAGATAAAAACTTAAAAATTAAGACAATAATAATACTGAGGAATTACTGAAGACTGGAAATTAGAGATAAAGACAGAATGATAAAGATAAAATAGTAAAATACTAAAACAGAGGACATGCACTGAGGTGAGTAAAACCACAAATGAAAGGTAGGATATTAAAAATCTAGTAAAAAATGAATACAAAAAAGATATAAAATGATAAAATTCTATAAGAGAGCAGATGTTTGGAAGAGAATAAAAGCAGAAATAAAATAAATAGCCAGAGATAAAAGCAGGGTATTAAAAGGAAAACAATCCAGAAAATGATCACAGAGTAAAAGGACAAACCAGTAAAACAGTTTAAAATATATAAATAAATAGAAAGGTCAATAAATAAAATTCAATAAAGAGCCAGACTAAAACGATCTGCCTTCCTACAGTGTAAATATTTTGGTCCTGCAAACAAACCTGCACTTTCATTTTCCTGGTAGGTTTAAAAAAGACTGAATGTGTAATGAGATTAAATTAAAAGCAACTATAACTTTGTCCCTTGCTACATCTATCTTACACCCACATGTGCACACGTGTGGCAGAAGTAGAGACTTGCACCATCCACTTCATGGCACATGCAAACTGTTTTAGATGAGATGCATTTACAGTAGTGGCACATCAATCGGTACAGCGATTGACACTGGGCAGAAACTGCTCTAGGAAAGGGCTTGAAATTAGCTCTCTCACTGTGACAATGAAGCACAAGGAGGCGAAATTATAACAGTTGAATGCACAACAATTAATTGGATGATTTACCTCAGTCCTGATTAGCGCAACTTTTGAATGACATGCTACGCGCCATAGATGTTCTTGGTGCATTATCTTACCTTGGGTAAAAACCTTGAAGCTTGCTATAATATCTTTGGCATCAGATCAAATACACTGTTTTGAAGAATTCTTGTGTTGCACTCACACTAAAAGGCTGAGGAGGTGCTCACTCCATATGGACAAATAAGCATTTTCATTCACATTGCATCACATTCAGTGTGTAGTCAGATGTGTTCCTGATTACCACCACATCTGGTTTAAGAACTGGGACAATGGTGCATCTTCAGTGAGACTGGGGTGTGCTCTCCACTCTCCATCAGATAGGCCAGTTTGCATTACAGTGCCAACACGACAGGTATTAAAATTACACTGGGATTTGGCTACTGGATTTTTTCCAGTAAAACATAACTACAAGTCATGATGTCTGTGCAGCACAGTTAGCATCTCAGAGTGCTCAATTAAAGTTTTGCTATGCTAGGTATTCACTGGCTGGTTTGCCCTGATTTAATCCTGTGTAGAGTATTTGATACATTAGAAACAGTGAAGGATGCATGCTGATGTGTGCACACAGTGTGAATGTGATAACTGTCGAACCTTGTTGGCTAACTTCACGTTTAGCCATCTGACTTTGATTTAGCTGTCTTGTGATTGTTTGTTTGCTGTCGGACGTGGATGTAAAGCAGATAGTCTCTCAATCTCAAAAAGTGTTGACTTTAATCACAGTAAACAGTAAAAGCCGGTCTTCAAACAATGACCACTGATCCCTGTTTCCATAAGTTGTGCAGGGAGCCTGCTAGGTGGCTAACTAGCTAGTACCCCGCTTGCTAACATGTTGCTGCAGCAGGAGCAACATCGCTAAGTGCGACACACAATGAAAAACAAACAATTAACTCTTACCGGATTGTGTCAGATATCAGTGCCAGTTGGGCCGCCGGATAACTCTCTGTCCTGCCAACAGTAAGTCTGGTAAAGTGCTAATAATGTGACTACGTTGATGCTGCTGGTAGCTGTGTATAAGACGTGGCATTTACTCAACTCAACTCATTGGACTCTCGCGGGAACGCGTCTCATTCCAAATTTGCCTCCTTCCGCGCTCCCTTGTTTAGATTGAAATATATATAGGCTATACATATATATGTTGGATTATCAATGATGCTGTTTACAATGTTATATAAGCATATTTTACAACATGTGTAAAAACACGCCCATTCATACACGATGCAAACCTTTATATGGGATGATGATAATGCAAAGGAGACAGAAGAGGGATACAGAGGGCTCAATAGAAATATCGCGAGATGAACCTCGTCTTTTGAATAATCGCCCCAGTGCATCCTGCAGGAGACCAGGATGAGAAACTCCAACGACTAGACATCAAGGACGTATACATGCTAGACGTATATGAACAACCTTTGTATGCAACCTGGTTTTCACTTACACATACACACAGACAGACAGACAGACAGACAGACACACACACACACACTCACACACACACACACACACACACACACACACACACACACACACACATATATATATATATATATATACTATCATTATAATTACTATTGTTATTATATTATATTATATTATATAATTACTATTGTTATTATATTATATTATATTATATTTTACTGTAAATATATTTATTTATTAATATATGTTCACTTAAGACACGCCCACATCAGATGACTCCACCTCTTGAGATTTAGGTCTGCGTATCAGAACAAGATGAAGGAATTGTTTGTTCTGCTCCTGTTGTGTGACGTTGCATCTCCGGGTAAGAGTATGTTGTAACTCTTAGTCGAGACTATCGTTATGTCCTGTTACTGTTGCTGCTGTAAAGCTTGTTTGATTTGTCACCGTACTGTGGAGCCCGATACATTGTCCCTGGGAATTACTTTCACTTTCACTTTTTATTACGCTGATGTTGATTTAATGTCATTACATGTCATCATTAAACATTGTCATTATTACTACTATTGTTTTATACATGTCAGTGCATTATAAAATTACATTTATTTTAATTTAGGCAATTTCAACACACTACTAGGCATGATTTCAAATACAGTGTGCTGTAATTGCTTTTCTATAACACACTTTGCAGTTAGAACTAAAATAATAGTATTTAGAACGAGTATATACCATATTCTTTTGTAGCTCATTGTGATTTAACAGATCTTAAAATTATATTATTAAAGGCAACTGATAACCAACTAATCATTCCCCCTGAGAAAAATGTATAAAATGCAATTCAAAACAATTTTTTTGTCCCACAGTGACACACTCTCTGAAATATCTCCTTACTGCAACTTCTGGCATACCAAACTTTCCAGAGTTCATAGGAGCTGCAATGGTTGATGAAGTTCAGGTGGGTTATTGTGACAGCAACGTCAAGACAGCAGAACCAAAACAAGACTGGATGAAAAAATTAATAAAAGATGACCCACAGCACCTGGAGTGGTACACACTGAAGTGTTTTGGAAATCAGCAAGTCTTCAGAACCAACATTGACAACTTGAAGCAACGCCTGAACCAAACTCAAGGTACATTATTTTTCTGTTGATGTGCAAGCTCAATTACTCGTGCCTGACCAGTCACTCACAGTATCTATATTCACAGACTCAGAGTTTCGTGGACATCATATTTGCCAAATAGCATGGTGGCCCTGCCCGCCATACCTGTACTCTCGAGCGTTCCTAAGTCGGCCATTCTGGTTGCTTTTAATAGAGGGAAATTCTTAGAAATTTGTAGCTGCCCCCCAGATATGTTCTTGCTTTAGTTGCAGTCTCTCTCTCTCTGTCTGTCTCAGGTGTCCACATTTTACAGAGGATGAATGGCTGTGAGTGGGATGATGGCACTGGAGAGGTTGTTGGTTATAATCAGTATGGTTATGATGGAGAGGACTTCATAGCATTGGACCTGCAGACACTGACATGGGTCGCTCCAAAACCACAGGCTGTCGTCACCAAACTGAGATGGGATGCTGAGAAAGCGAGATTAGAATACAATAAAAACTACTACATCCACAAATGTCCCGACTGGCTGAAGAAGTATGTGAACTATGGGCAGAGCTTTCTTCAGAGAACAGGTAGAATCACATGACTGTTATATACTGATAACTACACTCATCTGCCTTCATTCCAATAAAAATGGAGCAATATATAAACACATACTACATCTTTATATGTCATATATGTTGGTATAAACTCATCTGTTTCTCCCTCCAGAGCTTCCCTCAGTGTCTCTCCTCCAGAAGACTCCCTCCTCTCCAGTCAGCTGCCACGCTACAGGTTTCTTCCCTCACAGAGCTGTGATGTTCTGGAGGAAAGATGGAGAGGATCTTTATGAGGACGTGGACCAAGGAGAGATCCTCCCCAACCATGATGAAACCTTCCAGATGAGTGTTGACCTGAACATTTCATCAGTCACACCTGAAGACTGGCGGAGGTACGACTGTGTGTTTCAGCTCTCTGGAGTGAAGGAGGACATCGTCACCAAACTGGACAAAGCAGTGATCAGGACCAATGAAGGTAAGAGTGAGATTAGAGGTGGTGGAGGCAGGGTTTTTTATTCCTGTTTATGGTCTAGGATATCTGAAATTTTAATGAACAGTTAGTCCATAAAACAAGAAAGAACTTGCTAGAAATAGGTGTGTATAGTGTCACCATGTGGCCACTACGTGTTTATGCACTTTACTCTTTCATTTTAACCTAAACATATTTTTTAGATATTCTTCAGCCAATTTTTCAAGACTCCAGAAGTAATTTTCTGCCTTTATCAGAGAAAGTATGGGGATGACAGGAAATGAGCATGACATGACAGAAAAGTCAAAGGTCCAGGTCATGGTGACTTCACCTTGTGGATGTAATATCTTGAGAGCTCTTCAACGGAATTTCTTCAAATTTGGCACAATCGTTCACTAGGACTCTGGATTTGGGGGGTCAAAGGTCACAATGACCTGTGAAAACACTTTTTAACCATAACTCAAGACTTCACACAGCAATTATGACAATTTCACACAAATTGTTCATATTTTATAAGACTCTGGATAAACAGGGATGTAATCTGAAACTAGTCTGAGTGGCTGAGGGATACAACCACGAGGAAGTGATTCTATTTTTTTAGTATTTGAGTGATGTTTGTTTGACCAGAATGATTGACAGCACTGCTAACTCTGACTGCGTTACCACTGGAAACACTTTCAGAAACACACCGCATGGTTTGACAAGCTGCAGCAATGTGAAAGATTTTGTTTTGGTTCCAGTTCCTCCTTCAGAGTTTCCTGCTGCGGCTGTCATTGGAGGTGTTGCACTGCTGCTCCTTACACTCTGCATCTCTGGATTCTTCATCTGGAGAAGGAACAATAATGGTGAGGAACAGTGTGTCCCCCCCCCCACTACCTGTGATATAAGTCAATAAGTCAATTCATGTATTTGACATTGGTATCTCTCGTCTGTATTTCAGGGTTTCAGCTAGCTAACAGTAAGTATTCTACCTTTCTGTTCTAGTGTAGACAAGCATGAATTCACTGTGACAGGCAAGATTTCCTTTTTACTATTTATTTACTGTGTGTCTTGACAGGAGAACGGTGAGGGCTGAGAAAGGATGCTGAACTCCGCTGAGTGAGGAATGAATGGGATTCTGACCCACTATCATGTACCTGGGACAGCTCCAGGATCAGCACACCTGACAGTCATCATGAAATTTCTGCCATTTTTAAAAACCTCAGCTGTCAGAACTGTGACACTAACTATTTTATACGCATTATTACTGTGACAGAAAAAAAAGTTTTGTTGGGCTAGAAATCCACCTCCAGCATTTTATATTTTCAATATTCAAGCAGATTTATTCTCTTATAACCAAAGCAGCTGCAGTGTGTAGAGAGACAGAGACAGGCTTGTGTTGAAATAATTGTTGCCACGACCGGCTCAAAACCATGACAAGGAAAGCGGGAGGCAACACAAGGAGTTAAAGCAAAGAGACCATTATTTATTTGTAACCAAAGTCAAAAATCAAAGTCAATCAAAGATGCTGTGAGGTGTGGAAGTCAGTCAATCAGTAGTGATAGCATGAGTGAAGAATGGAGTATGAAGTGTTGGGGGGGGTCAAGAAACAAAAAAAAAAAAAACAGGGAGAAGACGAGGAGCATGAAGCGTCTGGAGCCACGCTTCCCTCTGTGTGTTGTTCATCAGGAAGGAAGTGTGGAGGATTTTAATAGCCCTGGAACACCTGGCCCAGGTGTATCCAATTAGCCATTACCCAGCCACACCCACTGGTACCTAGAAGAGAAATGACACAAGCAAGCCTCCTGCCCAACAACCAAACAGGGAGGGGTGTCACAGTATGCAATGACACTTGATGATGAAGGATGAAACAGCAACAACAATATTGAATATCACAATATTTACTGGCATATGCAATGTTTTTCATAATATTGAGAGAAGAAAAATAATAATAAATAAACAATAATACATAATATATTATTATTATCGCAAAATTTGGGCTGGACTAGATATGAAGTTGCAGATATGGTCCAAGCCTAGTTGTGATTTCATCATATGGATCATGGGACTCTCTGTAATTCAAATAAACTTCAAGTTTTCGAAATGTATCTGCTTTATTTTATTGTAAGAGCTGAAATTAATGCAAATCCAGTTTGATTGAACTGTTGATTTATATATGTTTGTCCCTTTGTTAACACATTAACATTCAAAGTGTTGCACACATATGAAGTGCTATATTTAATACTCAGCACATTGAGAATTGTTGATGAGATGCTTTTGGTTCAGTAAACTAGAAACTGTTTGGTCAAATGAAATGAAGTGGGAACTTTCACTCTGTTGCTTTCTGTTCCGTCTTCCTTCGCCAAACTCCAAAACCAACGTTTGTTATACTTAAAACTGCTACTGCCAACATTACTAAGAACAATGCTGCACTGGTTCAGCAAAGGGACTGTATATCTGGAGTTCTACATTATAAATAAAGAAGTAAGAAAATGTGCAATTGAGCAATAAAGTCATAGATTTTCAGGTTCCAGTCGAGATCATTTACTGATAAATATATTTTTCTGACTTTTAAGATTTGTAGCTTCAGTGGTTTTAAGTGTCTGGAAAGAACCAAGTTTCTATAAAGGGAAGCCTGCGACTTTCTGTGACAACAACAAATACAATGATAATAAATAACTAAGTAAATATATTTATTTGTGCCAAATTAAAATCCAAAAATGCAAAGAAAATACTAACTGGCTAATGAGACTTAATCTCTCTCTAAACGTTTAGATCTGCAGCTTCAGGGGCTCGTACCTCCACACAGGAAGCAGGAAGCTCCTTGTTTAAATAACTATTAATTATTAAATATCAAATATTCAAAATTTAAAATTAATATTACTGTTATGACAGTAATTTTAAAAAACTTGTTTTCATCTTAATACGACTTCGCGCTCTCCATTAAAGGTCATAAGTTTTGATTTAGTGAACAGAGAGTGCCTTGTGAGCTTGTGTATTTAAGGTAAACACAAGAAAACTTGTGCTGTGTAGAAGACTCACAGACAGTGACATAGAACAGCCTAACAGTGCGCTAACATCGGTATAACTATCTACGATTTAGCGTAATACAGACTCAATGAGCATGATAACTAACAATGTCTTTGGCGTCCATCAGGTCTGGGAATCCTTTTCACCAGTGTTATCCGTCTAGTTGGTCCCACGACACCTCCAGGGAGGCTAGGACGAGATGAACACTGGCGTCCAGATCCACTCCCTATAGCCAAGCCAATCCACTGCTCCGTCACACCACCACCTATTAATCTACCTTTACCCTGCTGCCTATGCTCACAAAACAACATCCACCAACTTTATGGTGAACAAAAAGCAGATTCCAGGGCAAACAAAACTTCCCCCTACACCAGTTCTGTTCATGTTCGTGTAGGACTGGATGTTTTTTCTTTTTTCTTTCCCAGAACCAGATGGCGTGGCCCAATATTGAATGAGGATGTAGAGTGAGGCGAGAGATTGCCCTTGTTGGGCTACAACCTCCCCTCCCCACCGCGCGGATAGGCTGGCTGCTCTACCTCCCCCTAACTCCGCCCACTCTCCCAAGACAATACAACTCAGCCATACAAACTCACTAAAACAAAACATACAACATCACCTAGCACAGTTCAAAGACACACTTACAAACCAGTTCAAAACAACTAAAAAACACAAAACAATACAGCACAATCTCACCTGTGACTAAACCACCCTCCCTCCTCAAAGAGGCTCACACAGGGTCCACAACCCTCCACTTAAAAATCACTTGGTCATTCTTCCTGATTTCTTCCGTGCTTCTCCTAAGAGGTCTGTCTATCCTAAGGGCTCCCTCCTGCTGGGCCCCCAGCTACCATTACTTTCTTCCATCAAATCCACATGACTGGATCTTACTGCCTCATTCTGACATGTCCTTTCACTATTTTCCTCACACTCTGTCCACTTCCTCCTATACTCCCCTCACCAAAGAAGACAACTAGGACCTTGCCTTAAATCCTCTACATCCTACTTCCACTGACAAATCCTAACTTTCCATCCTGCTGCTCTGTTCTGCCCTAACTTTAGCGTGAGCGTGAAGCGTGGTGTCCTTTCATAGCTTCCTACAAACTGAAGCCTCCCATGCGAACAGGTCAACTCTATGAAATTATACTTTCATTCTACTCCTAGACCACAAGTCTTATTTCACGGCCTCTGCTTTTAGTACTTGGCTATTATTCCTGGGGAGACAACACAAGCGTTACCATAATATACCGTAAATCTCACTCTGCACGTTCCAACGATCGAGCAATGCATCCTCTAAGCTGCCTGGTCGGCGTCCTTGCTGTCTTACTTACTTTCTCTCTCCTCTTTGAACAAACGTGATTGCAACTCTCTTTTTCTATTCTTAGACCTCCTTTTAAAAAGTGTGTTGCTCTGCTCGTAGGCACTTCATATTCCTGCACTAACTTTTTAAATTAAACACATGCGGTTACATGTCGCCACGATATACCGGTCCTTCGCACAGACTTAACCTTACAGCCTGACAAAATGTTGCCCTTCATGGAGTTAGCAAGTACAGTGAAGCACAGATGCAACGATAGCTGCTGAGCTTCTGTGTAGAGTGAGACAATCTAGGTCATTCAGATTATAAAGAAACATTAAAGTTCTCCTATTTAATTGAGCGCACATTCTAACCACATGTCAGATGCTTCCTTGTGTAATTTTATGATTTCCTGTAAACTGTCGTGTCCTGTAGAGCGGGTATCTGATTGATGTGTGGGCGTAATCAAATCAGTGTGCGGTGTTGTGTGTGGGTGTGTGTGTGTGTGTTGTAAGTTGCTGTGTGTGTGTGTGTGTTTGTGGTGTGTGTGTGTGTACATACATACACCTGAATCATCACCAGGATCAGGCTCCACTAAGACATGGATTGAAGACTGTTATTTCAAGTTCGTCCTCCTCTTTCTGTTCAAACCATTGTATCTCCTAGGTGAGGATCACGTTTATTTTCCTAACCTTTTGTTGCGTAACAGCAGCTTGATTTCCAACATTATATTCTAGTTTGCTAAATTTAATATATGACATGCGCTCTTTTTTGGGGGTAAACACAACATAAATGGATCCCTAACTTTTAGAACTTGAAATGTTCCTTAGATGAAATGTCTATTTTATCTCTTTTGACAAAATTACCTGAACTCAATTGATTGATCTGCTACGGAAGGTACGATTTAGGGCCCCACACTGTGGAAAAAACACTAAACAACATAAAGAATTTAATTCAAACTCCAAAAAAAACAATTCACACGTCGACTTGTTGACTTTTCCTTTTCTTAGGAAATTTCTTGACATTAATCTTCGTAGAATTCTTGGAATAAAGAATCAGAAATCTGTAAATCCTAGAACCCTCCACTGTACGATTTGCTGCAATCGCCTAAATCGTGTGGATGAGAGAGACACTTGAGAACGCTGGTCCTTTGTTGTTAGATTATCAGTGGCTCTTATCACTTCAAATAGCTTACTCACAACACTGCCAGATTTCCACCCATGAGCTTCTGGTGAAACACTGTGTGACAGTTATGCGGGTCTTCTACAGGCCAGCGATGTGAGAAGAATAACTTTGTGCTGCTGCTTCACACCAGCATATCTTCTTTTTACAGGCCTAATTTAATAAAAATAATATGAGTAGGATGTTTCCTCGGTATTTTTATAACCCAGTGTTTCCAAAACATTTTCCTCACAAAATTGAGCTTCATTTAATATGTGCTAAAATTGAGTCCTGTACTAATACCATAAAGATGACATCTCCATTAGCTCAAAGTTTACTTGGAAAGAAGCTTAAAAGCACATGATGTAACAAATACCACGCAGGTTATATTACAGATTATTTAGCACTGGAAAAACATATTATGTTATCACTTATTTAATAAACAAAACAATTAGATCTAATTTTTAACATCTCAATAGACAACATATTTATCATTTATTGCTCCTAATTGTAATTCTTTCTAACTCTAGTTGCACTTAGGGCTTCGGGCAGCTCTACGTGGACTGGTTCTCGTCGACTGTTTCGTTCTCTTACTCTCTATTCTACATGAAAAGCGCGTTGCAATCTCACAGGAGGAGCTGTTAGTTTCTTACTTAAAACTGTGAACCAAGGTTTTGGATGCCAGCCGAAACACTGAAAATCGATTAATCAGTATAACTTTTTTAAAAAAAAACCACAAATTACGTAACTTTTTAGGTTAAAAATTGCTTAAGTTTGCGAGAAATGATTACGCTTTACCCAAAGAGGCTAACTTAACAGAAAAACCATGTTTCTGCTGCAGTGACCTCACTCCTCACTTTCTCCACTAGGCGTGTTTGAGAGACCAACAAATGCCGGAGTTGTCGGCGTTACGATGGTTGAATATAGGAGGTTCGATGGTGATTTACTGCGGACAAGCAACGATCAGTTCAAGCTGAACCCCAAACAGGAGGCTGGATTGACAAAAACGCCCTGGAAGACCATGATCCAAACCACATGGACCTTTGCGTTCCTACCGATGGAGTGTCACGCGCGTCACCGCTCCTTCAACGCCTATGATGAAGACTCTGACTCGCAGAGGTTCGACCACAACTGAGGTATATTTACGTAGGTCTCCACTTTTTCCTGCCTGATTTACTTTTCTTCAATCTAGTTTGATTACCACAGCACAACCAGATGGTAGACACCTGTCATGAACACAGCGCCGCGCACACACACTACATCACCACAACAACACACCCACACACTAATGCTTTTGTTTTGGAATACCACTAATTTACAGTACCAGCGTATCCAACAACAGCGACACTGCACAACTCAAGTATGGTTAGTGCCTACATGGTGAGACGAAAACACAGTCTGCACCACACAGACAGGTTATCCTGGTTAGAGCTGATCACTCATTAAACAGAGGGTTGTGCTCACTCGTCGAAGCTTTTTTATATTGTGGTAATGTTGTAAGACACGAATCACCAAAAATCAAATCATATACTGTACAGTGCTATGTAAATAACATCATATCTGTCTCTCGTCTCAGGCGTGTCCACGATATTTTTACCAGAGGATGTTTGGCTGTTGAATTGG